GGAAGGGACTCTTGGATATTTTATATCGTTGAGTCCTTTCTTGTTCCTTAAACAATTTACGGAGATGTAGGAGAATGAATCTAACATTCATCTTTTCATGCTGCCTTTGTAACTTGGGAGTCATGGAGCCCAACATGTAATATTGAGCAAGAGTGGAGTCATCTATGTACTTCACGTAGCGAGTGATCTCATCCTCACTTGCCATTTCCTTGGGCGTAGATATTACTATGTCAAGGACATATATGATTTTCTTTGTCATGAAAATAATTCTTAGGTTACAGAGCCAATCCGTGTAGTTTGGACCAGTGAGACGATTGATATCAAGTATGCCATATAAGGCATTTGAAAGCGATATTTTCTAAAAATTAAAGATGTAGCTGAAAAGTAAATAGTATGCAGATTTTGGATTTTGCAATTACAATTAAAATATGGTCTTTTATCTTAATCTACTCTTATTTTCTCGTGAAACACACAACTCCCTCCGATATGTGAATCGAAAATCCCCGACGATTTTTTAGTGGGGATTGGGATCCAATCGACATCTTAGTATATGACCTTGAGGGACTTGACCAATCACATTAAACCCAAATGGTAGACAACTCTTGCCAATCATAACTTGTGATTTCCGTCATGTTCGGCCTCCGAATTATTATGGTCTCTGAGGACATAACCAACTCAGCCTACGTCGAAAAATGATTTCTGCCTATAATGTTGGAAGGACACGTGGGCCAATATTATTTTAGAGGGGTTTTTTTAATTTAATTCGGTCTTGTGGTTAAATGTTATGTGTCACACACATATTTAATATATTATTGATATCTCATGTGTATATATATATATATATACATATATATATATATATACATATATATATATATATACATATATATATATATATATATTACTTAGTAGGTGTAGAAATATATATCATATATATGCACATACATCCACACCAGATAATCATGGACCAGAGCCAAAGTGATCAAAATCGAGCCAAAGGCTTGATCATAAACAAAAAGATTCAAGTGTGCCTCGGCGCATCTTTTATACTCGGTGATTATCTGTCTCGTCCTCATCGGTCCTATCGGCACTTCGGTGCATCTCCATGCCCGATGATCATTCGCCTCGTCCTCTTTGGTCTCGCTAGTATCTCCAAACATTCATTGCGCCTTCTCGTGAAATTATAACTTAATTACAGGCACATAGGCCCACAAATACACATATCACATAATGAGAAGCTTTGATCTCAATTAAGAGGAAGTACAATACTGAGAGAGATAGAATTACATGTCGGATACATGGGAGGGAGAGGGAGGCTCGTAGGTTCCAATAATAATAATCACATACACATCATCACACATGGCCCATGATCATCTGTTCACATCATACATCATATGTACACAAAAGTATAGGACTACTAGGTAATAATTAATTAAATTATTTAATTAATTAAACTTGGATTAACTTTTAATCCAATTAGGAAACTCTATAGTATCCATACTACCGAGTATCCCATACGACTAGGAAATCTTGGCCGCACGGGTTGCTTGGGTGGCCAAGAAACCCTAGCCGCCAGGGACCCCTTTGCAACGAAGAATCCCTGGCTATAGGGGTTCTGCTTGGCCATGCAACCTTTGGCAAGGCCGAGAGCATCAAGTTCTATGCAACATTTGGCAAGGCCGAGAGCATCAAGTTCTACTCTTGGCCAAGGTTGCAAGTAGCCTTCCGCTAACATTGCAGGGCTGCAACAGTTGTTGCCCTTTTCCCAGTTTTCTGTCAATCGTTTTGATGATAAATCAGTGGTCAACATGACCTTTTAAATGCCAAAACTGATGCAATTCAAATCTATGATCGGTATCAAACGTAACAACTTTACGTAAACATCAATTTTACACGATTCAACACAACACACGTAATTAATAACCAATCGTTGCACGAACAACCTGGCTCTGATGCCACTGTTGGGAAACCTGGGAGAGCATCACATGCGCAGCGGAAAAATAGAACGGAAATTGGTTTCCTAAAAACAGATGTATATTGAATCGCATTCGACGATTGGGAGTGAAAAAGTCGTGAAATCGAAAACTGTGTAAGATTTGTGAGATGCTCTCACCTAAGGGAACTCGTATATCCCTTGTCCGTATATCTTAGTCTATGGATGAAGTAGATCTCGCGTTCTCGTCTCGCGACACGGCGGATGAGGCGACGATGCACCTCCTCTCGTGATGCGTTCTTTCCTCACTTTCGTGCACTACCACCACGCAGCAGGGGCAGTCCTTCTTGCTGCCCTCTCTCACCAGAGAGGGGGGTAGTCGGTTGAGGAAGAAGCAGAGAGTGGTCTTGGAGGTGGCGGCTATTGGGTCCAGCCTTGTAACCCTTTTAGTCCCGTATCTCTTTTATAGAGAGCCCTCTTTGCTAACCCCAAAGGATCCTGCCCTATTGGGTATTGGATTTTCATCTAATTACCCTAGTATATTAGATATTGGATCATTATCTAATTATCCATAGCTTAATGGAAATTGGATCTCTATCCAATTATCCACTCTAAGGTCTTGTTGGGTTTCACTCAACGGATCCAATAAAATAGGAGCTTATTGGATATCATATATCCAATCTTTTATTCGTCGCGTCATCCACCATATGTGTGTGACCCTCTAGGCCGAATACCGAGAACGGATCCAATAAAACAGGGGCTTATTGGATATCATATATCCAATCTTCTATTCGTCACATCATCCACCATATGTGTGTCCCTCTAGGCCGAATACCGAGCCGATCGTGAGTTGCACTTGTCAGAACTGATTTAGTGAATTATTATCCCATAATAATTCGCTCAACTCATCGACTATGGATGTACTAAGCCACTATGCCATAGTCCCCAAACGGTACAAGAGGATTTAATCCATTTGATTCGTCTGCTCTCTATTACCGTGTATCTATAGTCCTTTATTCATCTAATATCCCAATAACCGTATACCTGACATGGTGTTGTCAGGCTCCTACGGAATCTACTCGAGCCTTGCTCTAATCGGATTCTCTTGGAGAACTCCTCTTAATTTGAATGACCCTGGTTAGGGATTTGCCTGAGCGAGAACATGCGGGACATTCCTCTCAGCGGATGATCCTTTATCGACACTCAATTGCCCTTGTAAGGTTGGCTACCACTTCCGATGATCGGTTGTGTTAGATTTGGAACTTCTAGACCTTTAAGTCTGGTATCAAAGAGTGGAGTACTCATACAGGACATCCTTGGTGTCTCAACTCTAAGGATCAGACACACAATTAGGACCACGAAACCACTGTCTGACGATAAGGTATCATTAACCATCCAGCATTCCGTGAGCGGATTATTCAGTAAACTCATTCTCTAGTGAGCACTTGTGCTATATCCTTAGTGTCTCCACACAAGTAGCTATGAGACTAGCTACATTCATCATATGTATAGGTATATAGCATATTGGTCTATTCAGTTATTTCGATGTTCTTCTCAAGTAACCTATGATGGGGAATATTTAAGGTATGTGTTTATAGGCGAATTAGTCTCATTATCATGATCTAATCATGATCCAACTCTCATTGCATAGATCTAAGGACATCACAATATATTTATCAACCAATATAAAGTGTGAAAATGTCATAACCAAAAATACTATGCAGCATGTTACATATGTCATCACTCACGTGATTGCATTGCAGGGCACCTGTAACTAGCACTCCCTTTTCTTGTTCTCTCCTTTCCTCCCATTCATCTCCTTTGGTACTCTTCTTCCTCCTGTTCTCACTCTTCTATGTCTCCTGTTCTCTCCTCTCTGCACCTTTCCTGTTTTCTCCTCTCTCCACCTGTTCTCTCCTCTCCTGATCTTCGAGAACTTGTGTCGTGTTGTGAGGCTCTTTGTTCACTCTCAAAATTTGTTTCTTCTTTTTTCCTCCAGATTGTCTTCTATTTATGTCCATATAGACTGCAACATGTTGGGTAACGCACCTAAAGAACCAAAGTAAGATATCTAGTGTCATTTAGTTTAATTCTTGTTCTTTAGCATTGTCTGCTACTTGCAATTTGATAACAGCAAATCTTACTCGAGGGGTGAGTGGTGTGAGCTCATGATAAAACCATTACACTGGGAGAATGAGACCAGAAGATGGTGTTAACAAGGGCTCGACAAGGGACATACACAAAAAGAGAGAGGCTCCTCAGTTGATTTGTCCTGTTTTGTCAACTTTATCCATCCTACATTCCACGCAACCAGTTGGTCTTGCATTGCATGACGTGTTTGATTGTTGTCTAGACAATGATGATGATGATGACGGTGAAGTGGTAATTAGCATGTCTGTAAATTATCCCCAATATGTAGAAACGTGCCCAAGGACAGTGGAGTAGTGCATGAGAAACTCCTAAAGAAAACAACATTTCTTTCCATTTCTTGGCGATGCATTGCTGTTCTTTTTTCTTAATTAGTCCCATTCCTTCAAAATTTTGCTCTCAAGGTTGAGATTAATTTAATTTAATTTAATTGTATTATTCGGTGGAATGTGATTATGCATGTTCATATGGTATTGGCATAACTTTATTCGTCCTGAATTTAAAGAATGATCACAAGTGCAAGTTCATGGACTTCGTTATTTTATGGGTTTCCTAGACTTTGCATACTAGCAGGTCTTACCAATTGAATCTTTAATTTACTGTTCTCCTTTTTTAGTTCTTTAAGTTACAACTGGTAAAAAGCTTATTTTACTTTATCAAAAGAAAATTTTCACCAAGGGTGTTTTGACAAATCGTCAGGGTGCTGGAATTATGATTGGAAGTTTATGACTTTTTTCTCCAGTTGTGTTTTAAATATATGACAGCTTTTGATGATTGTTGTTGAAAAAATAATTATCACTTATTTATTTCTTATAAGTTTACCTTAGTTAAACATTTCCTTCGACTTACTATGATAGTATAATTTGGTCTGGAATATATTTTATGCTTTCTTTTAACATTTTTCGATTGCCATTGGCAGAAAATTCATGGAAGAGCCTTGTGGATAATCCAAATGATTGGTGGGACAACCGGGCAAACAAGGTATAACCCTGATATTCAACAGATATTTCAACTAAGATGACATCAATTTATTTGACTGCTTGATATTACTTATTTGTTGTTTTTTCTTACATATGCAGTTCAATCAGAAATCTCCTGATTTTAAACACAAGAAAACTGGTGAAGCCTTGTGGCTAAGTTCTACTACACCTCAGTGGGTTCTGACGAGCTTGCCTCCAGTGAACACAGAAAAAAAATTTGAAAGGAGAATGGCATCTTCATCACCGGCTACTATACTTTCTTAATCTTCGCAGGTAATCCTTTTGATTTTGATCTATATATGTAATTTGAAGTTCGTTATTTAATCATCATTAGACACCATTTTGCTCGTGTGGACATTTTTCTATACTCCTGATGCAGGTTAAAATATCATCCTATGTTGTGGCTCACCATTTCTGATAATTCCTTGGATATCATGGACACGAGACTGAGAGGATTCACTTTGGAGTGGTCTATCGATATCACTCAGATGCCACAAGGCTTTTTTTTAGTTGTATCATTTACAGTGTTTGCTGATAAAACTACTATGATAAAATTTATTTCTGAGTTTATAAAACTGCTGGATCATTGCATGATTAAACAATGTTGTTCAGTAGTGCTAATAGGGGTTTGCATGATCAATTGTGTGCTTATTTGCTTTTCATCTGGCTGATTTCAGTGATTCCTCCCCAAACAGGAGGAATCCAGAGATCTCCCACTCCACGCATCAGTGTGTTCTGCAATGCATCTTTTTTCTTTTTTTGCTTGCAATTCATTCCTTTGTTCTGGGTTTAATTAGTTTCTGTTCTGACATATATTAATACTAGGTCCAGTTTACGTGTTGTTAAAGGACATTTCAATCTACTCCCGGCATCAAACAGCCAGTTTTGTAAGCTGCAACTCGGCTTGTGACAGGTATTAACTTAATAGGTTTGAACCATAGATAAGAAATGATGTCTGACTTCAGTTTTGACTTCTGGACTGGTCATCTGGGTCATATTTTGCATGTGTTGTTGTCGGTTATCATACAATTTCTTTTAGAATTGTATTCAATTCTAGTGCATGCTGGGACATATATGTTATCGTCAAAATCAGCCCAGTCTAGTGCACGTGGCTCACCATTTCTGAGAATTTCATGGATATCATGAACACGAGACTGACAGGATTCACTTTGGATTGGTCTATTGATATCACTCAGATGCCATAAGGCTTTTTTTTAGTTGTATCATTTACAGTGTTTGCTGATAAAACTACTATGATAAAATTTATTTCTGAGTTTATAAAACTGCTGGATCATAGCATGATTAATCGATGTTGTTCAGTAGTGCTAACAGGGGTTTGCATGATCAATTGTATGCTTATTTGCTTTTCATCTGGCTGATTTCTGTGATTCCTCCCCAATCAGGAGTAATCCAGAGATCTCCCACTCCATGCATCAGCGTGTTTTGCAATGCATCTTTTTTCTTTTTATGCTTGCAATTCATTCCTTTGTTCTGCGTTTAATTAGTTTCTGTTCTGACATATATTAAGACTAGGTCCACTTTACGTGTTGTTAATGGATATTTCGATCTGCTCCCGGCATCAAACAGCCAGTTTTGTAAGCTGCAACTTGGCTTGTGACGGGTATTAATTTAATAGGTTTGAACCATAGAATAGAAATGATGTCTGACTTCAGGTTTGACTTATGGACTGGTCATCTGGATCATATTTTGCGTGTGTTGCTGTCGGTTATCAAACAATTTCTTTCAGAATTGTATTCAATTCTAGTGCATGCTGGGACATATATGCACTAGAATTTTATTCAATTCTACAATTCTAGTGCATTTTGTGTTACGTGACATTTATAACGTGTTTGCATATGTTTCGAGCAGTATCTTCACACGTACGATTGCACTTCTCGGTCGGAGTACATGAGATGTATATATATCTGCGGAGTCTTTTCATGTTATTATCTTATGATTTTTCAGTGTGAATTAACTTTACTTGTTTTCCTCGTAAATGCTGACCGACTAATTGCTATAGAATGTAGGTGTCAGATTGGAAAATTTGGTCGACTAATTCACTTGACCGACTAAATCGATCGACTTTGTTAAACAAATGGAATGAATCGCTTGACTTACTGAATTTTAGTTAACTCGCATGAACCATATCCGATTTTATAAATATAGCTAAGATTACTTAAATATTATTAACTTGAATCGTTGTCATTATTTTTGAGAGGATATTTATGTCAGTCTTGAAATTTGGATTACAATGAGAACAAAAGTACATCTCTAATGCAACCGTTTCTGTTTGTCACCCTTTGTCTTTTGACTATCGTTCTTCATCCCTCCTCTCCCACGTCTTCTCTTTATTCTTAATTGATTGTCATCAAAATGAAACTGAGGTGAATGAGCAAAATATTGCACCGAAAGAAGAGTTTGAAAATTAAGATACGATACAGAATTGGGGAACCAACAATGATGTTTTGATGACTAAAAAAATGTACATATTTGATCTCTAAGAAATTCGTATGCCGCTTGTTATTTGGGGAAATAAATTTTTAATAAAAACCTCCTCCTTTTGAATCTTTTCTGTGAGGTATCTCTTCTTTTCATATTTCTCTTTACTGTGCCCCCTCTTTGAGTTAATCCCCAAATTGCCCTCCTGACATTGGTAAGTGTAGCAGCTCTCGTCCTTTCGTATGGATCAGTCGAAAAGAAAAATCCGTCCACCAATTTAAACCTAACCCAAAACCCCAAGGACGCCTTTGCCCTTCGAAGCAGTATAATTGCGTCCTGCCCTTTCCTCTCCCCTCCGTACCCTTTTCTCCTATCGATCATCGTCGTTTACCTATGTTTTACTTCCGTCTGTCATAACTGTTCATCTCCACTGTACTTCCATCGCCACCCCTTGTCCTTTCCTTGACCCTTGACTACCTTTGGTTCTTGACTCCAACCGAATACCTCAATCATCAGACTTTTCTCTTGTCAATTCTATACTACCATCACCTTTCCTCTCCTCGTTTGATTTTTTTTTTCTTTGCAATCATGAATTCTTTTGTTTTCAGTTACTTGAACTAAGGTTAAATGATGCAAATAAGATGACAATATTTGTTCAAAATTAATAGAAATAAATAACTTAAGTTACAATTTATTTGCATGCCTGCTGAATTGTTGTCATGAAACTAAAGTGGGTCCATGGTGAATCTTCGATGTGTCTTAGTATACAATTCTATTGTTGCTTTCTAAACAGTAAAAGTCAATAGGGGTGAATAGACTCACTAAAAATTCCATTTCTTTCATTTAGCTTTTAATGTATTACGGTAGAATATGCAACTTTGATGTTTTCTTAATTTGAGAGATTTCATAATGTTAACAGTGCTATTTCTAGAGTTTTAATATATTTCTTAGATATGGAGGTAAGACGCTATAACAATAGACATTGGTCATGATTTTGCATTTTTCTCTATCATTGCCATTTGAGGTATCGAGGTGATAAGACTCATAAGTTGATCAATTTTCCTTGAGGTCGTGCTAAGATGCCAATTAGATCATGATCTCTATTACGAATCTTCTATTGGAGATTTTCAATTCATATATTGGAGGATGTCTTGTATTTTATAAGAAAATAATGGGAGTCGATTAAGATAAAAGTCTATATCTTAATTAATTTTTTATAAATTTTAAAATATATATGCTATTTATTTATTTTTGTTATATCTTTATTTTTTTAAAATATGTCGCTTATAGATCTCTCACATGACATACTAGATGTTAACCATCTTATTGGTCCAAACTATATGGATTGGCTCCGTAACATGAGAATTGTTCTCATGGTAGAGAAAATCACATATGTCCTTGACACAGATGTGCTTGTGCTTGCGGAAGGAGCAAGTGAGGATGAGATTGCTCGTTTTTTCATAAATTATTTGAGGAACAGGGAAGAACTTAACAATATGAGATATCCAAGTGTCTCTTCCACACAAGAATGACTGAGGAGACATCAGTTCAGAATTATGTCCTTAAGATGATTGAATGGATAGAGAAGCTTAGGAGTTTAGGAATGGTCCTAGAGGATAACTTATCTGTAGATCTTATATTTCAATCTCTTTCAAATTTTTTTCATAGTTCATAATGAATTTTAATATGAATAAACTTGAGGTGACTCTCCTTGAGCTCCTCAATATATTGAGGGAGGTTAAGAGTATCATCAAGAAAGAGAAGCTAGTTCTCTATGTTGGTGAGACCAAAAAGAAAAGGAAGGCAGAAACGTCTCTTAAGAAGGGTAAGGGCAAGGGTAAGCTAGGAAAGATAAATATTGTTAAAAAGGACCTGGCAAATGACAAATGATAATGCTTCCATTGTGGTAAAGATGAGCACTAGAAGAGGAACTATAATGAGTATATTGTAGAAAAGGTGAAACAGAAGCTTAAAGAAGCTTTAGGTACATTCTTGATTGATCTCCATTTGTTAGAAAGTTATGACAATGTATGGGTATTGGATATTGATAGAGCATCTCATATCTGTAACTCATTGTAGGTTCTAGAAAGATTAGGAGATTGGCGAGAGGTGAGGTGGACATCAGAATGGGGAATGATGCAAAGATTGTTGCTATTGTCGTTGACGAGGTCACCCTATAATTGCTTAGTAGAGCTATTCTTGTATTAGATATATGCTATTTCATTCATTCGATCATCAAAAATATTATTTCTATTTCTAGTTTTATTAAATAATAGTTTATTTATATTAGATATTGCTCCATATGTCATGAATATTGGTGTGTCTAAGAGAAAGCGAGATGAGGTGAATGATATATACTTGTGACACTGTAGGCTAGGTCATATCCATAAGGGAAGAAGTCAAATGTTGCTAAAAGATGGATACTTAGATCCATTCGATTATGAATCATATGTAACATTTAAGTTTTGCCTATAAGGAAAATTGACCAACTCTCCACTAAGTGGAACTTGAGAGAGAGCCACTGAGTTGCTAGAACTCATATATATTAATGTATATGATCTTTTGTCGACTCAAGCCATAAGTGGTTTTTCATACTTCATTATATTTACTGATGATTTCTCTAGATATAAACATGTGTACCTAATCAAATAGAAGCCTTTGAGAAATTTAGGGAATATAAGAATGTGATAGAAAACTAGATTGGAAAAAGTATCAAGACTCTTCGATCAGATCGAGAAGGAGAGTATTTGAGTACAGAGTTCACCAAATTCCTCAAAGACCATGAGATTCTATCCCAATGGACCCATCCTTATACATCTCAACTTAATGATATATCAGAAAGGAGAAACCACACATTGTTGGACATGGTGCGGTCCATGATGAGTTTCGCTAACCTACCCATCTCTTTCTCGGACTACGCCCTAGAGTCTGTAGCTTACCTTTTGAACAGAGTTACATCTAAAGCTATAATATTTACACTATACGAGATATAAAAAGGGAAGAAACCCGATCTTAAGGTTGTTAAGATTTGGGGCTGTCCTACCCACGTCAAGAGACATAACCCCGACAAGTTGGAATCAAGGATGGAACGGTGCAAATTCATGGGTGATAGGGATGATTTTGCCACAAGCCAGCTCATCTGTCACCGAGGCTGACAGCATCGTAG